GGAATGGAAAGGGATAAGAGAAGATGTTAGGGGAAGCTGATAGAAGGGAGAGCAGTTTGGGAGAAGTAAAAGTCAGAAGCAAAACACTTTTGAGAATGGACAGGGTAAAAGGAGAGAGAGAGTAGGATAAACAAGCGGGAAATAGAATGAAGGGAAATATTAATATTAGGGATAATCATTATTTTGGGAAAAATATTTACAATGAGTTTCTCTGATAAACACTTCATTTCTCAAACATATGGGAAAATGAGTCAAATTTATAGAAATAAGAGCCATTTCTCAATTGATAAATGGTCAAAGGATATGAACAGGTAGTTTTCACACAAAGTAATCAAAGCTATCTCTAGTCATATTAAAAAAATGCTCTAAATCACTGTTGATGAGAGAAATGCAAATTAAAACAACTCTGAGCTAATACCTCACACTTGCCAGATTGGCTAATATGACAGAAAAGGAAAATGACAAATGTTGCAGGGGAGATGGAAAAATTAAAACACTAATGTCCTATTGGTGAAGTTGGATACTGATTTAACCATTCTGGAGAACAATCTGGAACTAAGCCCAAAGGGCTATAAAACTGTACATACCCTTTGATCCAGCAATATCACTACTAGGTCTGTATCCCAAAGAGACTATAAAAAGGTGGGGGAAAGACCCACATGTACAAAAATATTTATAGCAGCTCTTTTTGAGGTGACAAAGAAATGGAAATTGAAGGAATATCCATCAATTGGGGAATGGCTGAACAAGTTGCTGTAAATGATTATGATGGAATACTATTGTGCTTTGAGAAACAATGAGCAGGATCCTCTCATGAAAAGACTTACACGAACATCTAAGGGAAAGTGAACAAAACCAGGAGAACATTGTACGCAGTAACAGCAATATTGTATTATGATCTACTATGAATAACTTAGCTATTCTCCGCAATGCAATGTTCCAAGACAATTCTGTAGGACTTATGATGAAAGGTACTGTCCATCTCCAGAAAAAGAACTAGCAGAGCCTGAATGCAAATCAAAGATACTTTTTTCTTTACTATCTTTATTTTTCTTGGGTTTTTTTGTCTGTATTGTCTTTTACAGAATGACTTAGATGGAAATGGGTTTTGCATGACTGTACACATATAACCTATGTCAAACTGCTTGCCTTCTTAATGGGGGGGGAGAAAGGGGAAAATTTGGAACTCAAAATTCAAAAAAAAAAGTTAAAATTGCTTTTACACTCAATAGGGAAAATAAAATATCAAACAAGATTTTTTTTTAAAAAAGAGATTATCACATGAGACAGCATGGTCTACCCAGAAATAGGAAAGTCAGTCAACAAGCATTTATTAAGCACCTACTATGTGCCTGGCTCTGTGGTAAAGCACTGTAGATACAAATAAAAGCAAAAATTCTGTCCCTGTTCTCAAGAACTCTCATTCTAATAGGGGAGACAGTGTGCAAAATAACTGTGTATATAGAAGGCAGCGGGGGATGGTGAGGAGAGGGAAAGGGAAAAAGAAAGAGGAAGAGAGAGAGAAAGAAGGTGAAGTTACTGGTAATCTCAAAAGGAAGGCACTTTGTGTGTGGGTGGAGGAAGAGAGACTGGAAAAGGTATCTTGCAAAAAGTGAGTTTGTGATTCAATCTTAAAGGAACCCAAGGAAGCTAAGCAGTGGAGGTGAAGAGGCAGAGCATTGCCAGGTATGGAGGACAGCCAATGGCAAGGCACTGAGTCTTGAGATGGAGTATCATGAGTAACCAACAGCAAATTGGTTAATGAGACTGGATTTTAGAGTTCTTTTGAAAAGGAAAGAAGTGTAGGAACATGAAAAGTTTTTGAAAGGCATTAAATTCCAAACAGAAGCCTTTACATTGGATCATAAGGTAATAGAAAACTACTGGCGTTTAATGAGTGAAGTTAGACCTACACTTTAAGAAAATCATTTTGACACTTGTGTGGAAGACAGATTGACTGAGGAAAAATGAGAAATGTGATACTGATTAGAAGGCCATTACTATAATCTAAGTGAGATGTGATAAGGGCTTATACTAGGGTGATGGCTATGTGAGTGGAGAGAAGAGCCTGTGTAAGGAAAGACTGTAGTTGTTCTTCAGTCTTTTCATTCATATCTAGCTTTTTGTGACCCCATTTGGGGGGTTTTCTTGACAAAGATACTGGAGCGGTTTGCCATTTCCTTCCCTGTCTCATTTTACAGATAAGGAAACTGAGGCAAACTGAGTTAAGTGACTTGCCCAGGGTCACACAGTTACTAAGTGTCTGAGGCAGGATTTAAACTCGGGAAATCTTCCTGACTCCAGGTCTGGCACTCTATCCATTGCACCACCTAGCTGCCCTTAGGAAAAAAATGTTATGAAGGAATAAAAAAAGACAAGAGTTGACAATAAACTGTATATATAGTGTGAGGAACTGAAAATTATACTAAGGTCGTAAGCCAGGGTGACTTAAAGGATGGTGGTGCCCTCAACAATAATAGGAAAGTTAGGAAAAGGGGAGGTGTGGGGGAAAGTTAATAGTTTTTTGGACATGTTAAATTTGAGATACCAATAGGACATTTAGTTCAAGACATTCAAAAAAGTAGTTAATGATATAAGATTGGAGCTCAGGAGAGTGGTTAGACCCAAATATGTAGATCTGGGAATCAGCTACATCAGGGATGAAAATCAAAACTTCTGGGAGTTGGTGAGATTGCCAAATGAGACTATATCTAGAAGGAGAAAAGAAGAGGACTTAGGACAGAACCTTGGGGGACACTCGTGGTTAGTGAGCATGACCTAGTTAAAGATCCTTCATAACAGACTGAGAAAGAAAGATCTGACAGGTAAGAGGAGAACCAGGAAAGAACAATGTCGTGAAAACCTAGAGAAAAAAACGAATCTTGAGAAGTGGATGACTGACAGTGTCAGATGTTATAGAGAGGTCAAGAAGGATAAGAATTGAGAAAAGGCCATTAGAATCGCCAAGAAGAGATCATTGGTAACTTGGCAGAGGACAGTTTAAATTGCAAAATAAGTTTATAACCCAGAATACAGAGAGCTAATAAATGAGTGAGAGAGGAGAAAGTAGAGACACTTAGTATAGGAGACTTTCTTACAAAGTTTAACTGAGAAAGAGAGGAAAGATTTGGGACAATAGCTAGTTGGAATAGTTAAATCAAGCAAAAGTTTTTTCTAACAGCAGAGGATACATGCTGATTTTGTAAGCAGCAGGCAAAGTACTAAAAGTAAGGGAGAGATTGAAGATATGAGAGAAAGAGGGAATAATAATGGGGATAATCTGATAAAGAAGACTGGAGAGAATAGAATCAAGGGTGCACACAGAGAAGTTTCTCTTGTTGAGGAAAAGGGATATCAGAGATAAAAAGTAAGAAGGAAATAGGAGAAGAAGATGTTCAAGTGATGAGATGAGGAGGAAGGGGAAAGAGGGATCAGCATGCAGGCATGGCTTCAATTGAGGGCACAGGGTGAATTGAGAGGTGAAATCCTCAGTTGAGAGGGTAGGAGGGAATTAAAAGTTCTAAAACAAGTATTGTCCTAAGTGTACTGAATCTATTAGGGAATTGTAAAAGGATTGTCTTCATGCAATGAGAGGTCAGTTGAGTTAATGTAACATAAATTTGTAGTTGATCTTATCCACTAGTGGATTTTGAGAAAACTCCCTCCACCAACACAGGCTGGTATCTTCTTTGCAATTTATAATCTCCAAGTGTTGCTTGGGACACCAACGGTAAGTGATTTGTCCAGGTTCACATAGCAAAAACATGAGAGGCAGGACTTGAATTCAGTTCTTACCAACTATGAGTCCAAAAATATAACCATGCTTTCTTTTACCCTTAACAGCCATCAATACATATGCACTGAATTTCAACAGTGGGCTGAGGAAAGGATGAAGAGGAAACTTGTGATACAATGGAAAGAGGATTAGCCCTAGAATCAGAGGTCTTGGGTTCAAATACTACCTTTTAGTTACTGTACGTCTGACCTTGGGCAAATCACTTATTTTTTTTATATAGATGAGGAAATTTCCTCATCTATATAAAATGAATAGTTTGGAGAAACATCCTCTACAGTGGCCTCCAAATATATGATCTTTCCTTCCCCTGTCTTCTGTCTTGGATGAGGTGATACTTGTCCAACCACACTTTTATTTATTCTGATTTGCCAGTCAGTATTCTCTAACAATCATAAAGTGAACTAGTTCCTTGGGGCCAGGTGAAGAAAATAACCACCATCAGAACTATGCCAAGCACTTTGATTGAGTGGGTGGGATGTTAGAAGGTACAAGCAAGCTTATTATTGAAACAATGACTGAGTTGATTGTTTCCTTTAAAAGCTAGATCAGTGATATCTTGGGCTTTTAATTTTTATATAAATACATTGTCATTTTGAGCTTAAGGGAGACAGCTTGGGCTCCACAGCACTTAGAGATTCTTGAAAATCATTGCCTAACATAGTTTTTTAGGTGGATATGCCTAGAGATGTGAAGAAGCAATTAAAAGCTTTAGAGAAGTAAAATTTGTTTTCAAAATTTGTGTGTTTATACATGTATACATATGCATGAATATGTATATGGAAGGAGAGGGAGAGAGAGAGAGAGAGAGAGAGAGAGAGAGAGAGAGAGAGAGAGAGAGTTTATAGCTAATGTAAATTCACAAGGATAAAAAATATTCCTTCAGAAATAAGTAGGTAAAAATGGGCTGGCATCTTAAAGGATGAAACGTCTATACTATAGTTTGGCAAAAAAAAAGGGGGAAGATAGAAATCTTTTTAGCAACATTCCTTGTTCCAGGAATATAGGTATAGGCACTTGCCAATGATACTTGTAAGGATAAATATGAAGGACTCAATCTAAAGAGAAAATTCTGAATGTCATAGTCAAGAGGCTTAGCTTAACGTCCTGAACAACTGGATTCTCAAAAGGTAAGTGATGTTTAAAGGGATCCTTGAGGTAAAACAGTTATCTGAAGTAAAAGAAATTACTTTTTCCTATTTCAGGGATGGGTCCATTCATTGTACTGATGTTTCTGACCACTGTGATCTGTCAATCCATAGGACTGGTAAGGAATCCAAATGTTTCTAACTTTAAAAACCCACTCCTAACTTCAATGTGGGGTGAGAAGAATGAATGAAGATTCACAATTTGGGGACTTTTATAAAAAGAAAAGCTCTTCATCAGGGATCCTTGGAGGAGCTCATTATTAATGTCATGATGAGGAGTCAGGAATCAGAACAAAAATTGGAACTAGTGAATGGAACCAGAAAAGTTGAGATAGTGAGTATTTTGACTTGAACTGAGTAGCATATAAATTGTATATAAACTTCAAAATGGCACTAAAGACAGTAAGACCTTATAGTAAGGCTTAGAGAGCCAACCTTCCAGAGAGTTAGGAAAACTTGAGTTCAAGATCTGCCCCTGAGACATACTGGCTATTTGACCATGACCAAGTCACTTACCCTTGCAATGCCCCAGTTTCTATGCCAGGAATTCTCCATACCAGTCACTCAATAAGCATTTAGTATGTAAATAACTATGAAAAACAAAATATTCAAGGCATCTCAAAAGTCTTAATGTAGTTTTTAACCTGTTGAAGCTTAAAACTTTTGAGAAACCCTATATACAGAATAAATTAAAAATAATCAACAGAGGCACTAGCCTTAGGGATAATTGGGAAAGGATTGTTATTGAAAATGGGATTATTGCTGGAACTTGAAGGAAGCCAGAAAAGTCAAGAGACAGATGAAAAGAATTATAGGTAGAAAGAAAAACGTTTGCTTGATTTAACTATTCCAACTAGCTATTGTCCCAAATCTTTCTTCTCTTTCTCAGCTAAACTTTGCAAGAAAGTCTCCTATACTAAGTGTTTCTACTTTCTCCTCTCTCATTCATTTCTTAGCTCTCTGTATTCTGGATTATGATCTTATTTTGCAATTTAAACTGCCCTCTGCCAAGTTACCAATGATCTCTTATTTGGCAATTCTAATGGCCAATGAAAATGCCCAGAGTCAAGACATGGCGTATTTTGCATGAGGAACAACAAAGAAGCCAGTGTCTCTGGGTTGCAGAGTACATGGTATTATATGTAAGTGAATTGGAAAGGTAGGAAGGAGACTACGTTATGAAAAACTTTGAATGCCACACAGGAAAGTTTATGCTTGATCCTGGAGGTGATAGGGAGCCATTTGAGTTACTTGAATATGGAGAGATGACATGGTCAGACATATGCTTTTAGGAAGATTAATTTGTCAGCCAACAAAATCCCTGATTCAAACTAAAAATTTAAAGAATGGCAAAAATACTATCATGAATATTATTTTTAAGCTAAGAACCCAGATTTTTTATGATAAATGTAGCACTAAATGTTTTAGCCCTCCAGGAAGACCTATGTCTGAGGGTACATATATTTCTAAATTTTTCTGGCTCCTGTCAAACAACAAACACTAATCCTAAAGTAGAGGTTCTTTAATTGGAATCCATGGATTCCTAAGTAGTTAAAAAATGAATTTTAGGGGGTCCATGAACTTTGATGTGGAAAAATACATATTTATTTCAATATAATTGGTTTCCTCTGCAATCCTAATGTATTTATTTTATTTAAAATTTAATTTTTCATTTTTTAATTAAATTAAATTTAAAATATTTTATTTAAAATTGAAATTTAGTTTATTTAAAATATATTTAAAATCATTATCTGAAAAGGGTCCATAGGCTTTACCAGAGTGTCAAAAGAGTTTATGACAGTGTTAGATTAAGTTAATGAACACCACAACAAACAACTCTAAAGACTGAGATGGACACAAAGTACAACAGAGCAAATAACATATTGATCTCTGTATGATTTTCTATTAGAATTTCACACTTTATAGCAATTTGTCCACCATGAAAGGAGAGGTGCAAAAGAAGATCCTTGAATGCCACAATAATATAAGAAGATCAGTGATCCCAATGGCTAGCAATATGCTGAAAATGGTAAGTCATACAGAGAGGGAAATATGTGAAAGCTTTAAAAGTAACCCCACTACAAAAGGCAGACTACATGTTCTTTCTGCTTAAGAAATAAAACTAGCATGATTTAGGAAGTAGTCCATAGTCAGTGGCTTAGTGATTAAGGACCTGTCCATGATCCTATGCTGTTCAATATTTTTATGAATTATTTGGATGAGTCTGTCAATAAACAAGCATTTATTAAGCCCCTACTTTGTGTTGGGCACTGTGATAAGTGTTGGGGAAAAAAGAAAAGGGAGGGGAACCTTCCTTGATCTCAATCTAATAGGAATAAGGACATAGCATAATTAAAAGACCTGAAGATGAAATGAATATGTAATGGAGATAGGTGAGGGAGTAGAAAGGATAGCTAATATGCTGGATAACAGAACCAAAATTCAGAATGACAATGATAGACTAGAATGTTGGGCCAGGTCTAATAAATGAAATGTAAAGAAGAATAATAGAAAGACCTACCCAACTGTGCAAATAGAGAATGGGGAAAAAGCATGCCTGGATATCAGTTCATGTCTAAAAAAAAAGTCTGGTGGTTTTAGTAGACTGAAAGCTTGAAGTCAACAGAGTGACAAGGTAGCTAAAAAATAACAACAACAACAACAACAACTTAAACTGCATTAAGAGAGGCAAAGCATTCAAGGTAACATGAGAGTCTTACTCATTGGGCTTGCCCTGCTCAAATCATATCAGACCATACTGTGTTCAGTTCTGGTACCATGTTTTGGGGAAAGACATTGACAAGCTGGAATGCATTTAGAAGAAGATGATCAGGATGTTGAAGGGACTGGAGATTATACATATGTTGTGAAGATTATGCTTTCAATTGGAGGAAATAAAATTTTATTTAGGAGTGACATGTTAACTGTCTTCAAAGCTTTGAAGCATTATTATGTAGAAGAGGGATTTAATTTACCCAGTAAGATATTGTTCTTATCACAATCACCAGTGTTCATCAGCTAAAAATGCTATGTCTAGTTGTTATCCCGATTTTTCCCCAACAGTACAGGTTCAGAGATGTAATAGAGCCAGCTCTTACTGGCTCCTGAGGGCCGATTTTTTAAATTTTCAGTGTGAGCGTTATATCTCAGTAAATGATAATACAAATCAGAAATTGATCTATTGTTCTGATGATTGCACAGACCTAAGAAAGCAATAAAGAAAATGTTAATAATTCAGATTAAACTTGAAAGTGTGTCATGCATTCTCAGAGAGCTAGTTGTTAAACATTTACCAGCACACCATTGAGTGAAAACTAGGATAAGTGGCTCTTAGAAACAATGGCTAGACAAGTAGGAGAGGAGCTCTTCTAGTTTGCAGAATTATGATTGAATACTCCCCAGTGGCCTGTTCTCAATAATCCATATGTCTGTTGACTCAGTACAATGGTAAGTGATTTGGAGCCAAAATACCTGGGTTCAAATCCTAATTCAGCTACTTACTACCTATACAACTCTGGATAAGTCATTTAACTTTTCTGGGCCTTACCTTCTTCCTCTATTAAAATTAGTAGGCTCGACCAGATACCTGTCAGCTCTAAATCTATGATTACATCTTCCTATAATTCCCTAGGATATGGATAGAAAGTCCAAGGAGGAGAAGTGTGGTGTGAACTCTTCTCACTATAAGTACTAGCAGATATATGATTCTCTCCATGGTCCTGGATATGACTCTAAATAAATGACACCTTTATACACCAATCCTAAATCTAGACAATGGACACTCATTCAATGCTCTGGCTAGCACTACCCCCAAAGAATTTACTCCCTCACCTATTCAGACCTCTGATTCTTTATCTAGAAAATGAGAACTCTTACAGTAAATGATGCATTAGGTCCCAAACTACTCTATATTTAATATATCAATGGATCTACTCTCATTGATTGCCCCCCCCATGACACAGATAAAAGTTATCTTATCCTGTGTGGCTCTTATGCCCACCCTTCTACCAATCCTCTACCACTGTTACTAAGAGCCTTGCTTTTCAACCTTTTGATGTTACTTGGAAGCCAGAGCAGCATGTAGGCTGCCTATTGTCCCTCATTCTTGCCTAAGCTACCTCCCTCTCCAGTTATACATCTCTTGGATGATATGTTTTATGCTGTTTTGTTCATTCAAGTCATCATTCATAATATACTGTAGCATCTTTTTACTCACTGTGCATCTTTCCACTGCCCTTTAAGAGATCTATAATTTTATTCCTTGGATATCATGGGTGTCCACAATTCTAACCTAGAGTCTAACATTCTCTAAATCAGGGGTTCTTAACCTATGATCTATAAATATAATAGAGAGATAGATAAAATGTATTTCAATGTAATTGGTTTCCTTTGTAATTCTGTGGGTTTTATTTTATGCATTTAAAAACATTATTCTGAGAAGGCTTCACCAAACTACCAAAGGGGTCCATAACACAAAGCATGTTAAGAACCCCTCTTCTAAATAAATGAGAACAAAGCTGGAAACTTAGTAATAACACTCATGCTTGTAGAGAAAATGTTAATCTGCTAGAGGTCAAGGAATCTCTCAGGGATGTCACTTAGAACACTACGAGTTTTTTGTAATTCCAAAATAATATCTGGAAGTAAGGTACCCCCCCCCAAGGTTTGTTCTAGTTTTGGGATAGTTTTGCTCTAGTCAGCAAAAATACTAATCAGGTCACTCATGTAGAATTAGACTACTTCAAAAGTACAGTGGAAAGTTTATGTACCCATCTAGTAAGGTTATGTTAATTTTGACACATTTCCAGGAGTAATGACTAGACCAGTGCCCTGGAAACTGTCCTTTTTACCTTGGTTTCACTCAAAACTCTATGGAGATAGTCTAGTTTTTTTTTTCCCTCATGCTATTCTATTCTGAATCTATATGTTCATGGTTGAGATCTAATAAATATGCCCTTGAGATACCAAGATCATCATTCTGACATATGTATAAAAATGTGGGATTTTTTTAACTAACCAATTTTGCCTCTGCAGGCAAAGCAATTCAATAAGTGTTCTACAGTGATCTGAGATCAACAGGTTTATACCTGTTCTTATGGCTCTTAACAGTCACCTGGTTGAAGAGTAACACTCCCTTTCCTCATCACCTACAGCCAAAAGAAATAAATCCCAAAAGTTGACTATCAGCAGGTCCAAGAAAAATGCTATCATCTCATTCACCCTAGGACAAGAACATATGAAAAAGTTAATGGTTCTCATCCACTGAGGCTTATTATCCTCATGTGAGTTCAGTCAAAATAAGATTTTATAGTGTATTAACATGAATTTGGGTTGTGAGTTCAGCACAGCTGTCTGACAAGTCCATGGGGTCCACAGGACACCACATCAGCAAGTGCAGGAGATCTACCTCCATTCTTCCCTGGGTCAGGTGGTTCAGTCACTGGATCACAAAATCTTAAGATTAGAAAGACTCCTAGATACCATCTAGTTTAATTCTTTGATTTTAAAGATGAGGAAACAAAGGCTCAGATAATATATGTGAACTGCATAATGTTGTACAAATACATAAAATATAAAGGTACATATAGACATATGTCCATATATATGTGTATATATATATATGTATATATATATATACATATGCATGTATAGCATTTTGCTTGAAAAGACCTTGACATAACTTATTTCATGTTATTTTCATTAACAGCCCTGTGAAATGCAAAAGATTATTATTGGCATAGTTACAAGTGGCATATGCTGGATGAAAATCTCAGTCTCATGTTTCTAAGCTAATGAATAGAAAGAATAGTAGGAATAATGGAAGAGTCTGAAGATATACAGACCAATTGGGAAGGCTGTTGCATTAGTTCAAGCATGGAAGTTAAGAGATGATCCAGTTTCTGGAATAAAAAATGTAAAATAAAATATGTCCTTTTTCCATTAAGGTATGGAGTAATGAATCTGCTTCAAATGCTCAAATGTGGGTAGATGAATGCAATATGGAAAATAGTGAGGTTTCTAAGAGATCTACTAATGGTAAGTAAAGATTTACAACACATATACTCAGGGACTTTAGGAATGTCTTGAAAAGAGAACTTGAATGTTCGCAAGATGATCAGGACTTTGCTCCAGGATGCTGAAACTAACTAGTAGGAACTAACAGTTCTTGCAATCTTTTATAAGGCTAAAAAAAAAACACCTGAATTTCGTACCTGATAAGCAAGAATAAGAAGATAAAATAGGAAGCAACCAGAAAGCATTATCTGCTACACCCTGGCTAAGTTCTTCCTTGATCCATAAAGTTACCAGCACATCCATTCATCATAGAGGCTTTTTTGTGGTAACATTTCAGTCAGTCAGTGAGCATTTACTATGAAACTACTATATACCAGACATTGTACTCAGCTCTGAGGATACAGAGAAAGGTTAAAGATAGTCCCTGCCCTCAAGGACCTCACAGTCTAATGGGGGAAGATATCATGTATTTAAAAGACTGAAAAGCAGAGGGAGAGCAAGAGAGATACTCAGAATAGGGGCATGCTAAAGTCTTACAGCCAGGTGAGAAATTATGAGATGGCTAAGTGGATGTGGACAGTGATTTCTAATGTCCATCCTCCACCCTCTCCAATCACCAATAAAATCATGGGACTAGATCCTCCTCCCAAATATGCTAGATACTAAGTACTTAAAGAGTATAAAGATACAAAAGTCATAGTCCCTGTCCTTGTAAGCTAGTAGGCATAGTTAAGACCCATACACCAATATGGCACAAGTCAGAATTTCAATACCTAAGAAGAGTATAAATTGTTATGAGAGCAACTAAAGGGAAAAAAAACCTTCAAGCTTGGAAAAGGGGGTACAGAGAAAGAAATTATGGAAGACTAAATGGGGGAGGTAGTATATAAGCCGGGTCTAAAAGAATATGTTAGCTGTCAATAAGCAGAAATGGTTGGGATGTAATAAGAGCAGACAGCATAGGTCACTTGAAGGCCTGGGAACAATCCAGGCCTATCTTCATATGTTCATATTCACTTCTCAGGTAACTCCAGGTTTCTTATAATTTCTATTAAGAAACATAGGATTTTAGAGCTCCAAAAGACCTCATGGAGACAACCAAGTTCTGCCTGCTAGTAAGAGCGGGAAAAGACATGTACAATGGAAGGTGCATTTGACTCTGGAGTCAGAGGACTTTAGTTTGAGATCCTGCCTCAGACACTAACTGCCTAGGTGGCAGTCTTTAGATAAGTTACGTCACCTCCTTGAGCCTCAATATCCTCATCTGTCAAATGAAAGAGTTGGCAAAGATAGCTTTTGCTGCCCTTCCCAGTTCTAGACTAGAATATGCTAGGGAATAATTCTCAGAGTTTCTAATATAAAGTTCATTTTCTAGTATACCCAAAAATATAAGTTCCATTAAAATAACAGATCTACTGTAGACAATTAACTGATAGCTTAGTGGTCTGAAAGCCATACAGACCGAAAATGTGTTATTTGCTCCCAGGTTGCAGTACATGCACTTGAAGAAACATTTACGAGGCAGGCCATTATTCTTTTTTTTTTCAGTTTTACAGATAATTCAGAAATGTAAATATAGCAGAAATGTAAATATAGGTTAGCAATGAACTTTCCACACAACTCTGTGATGTACTTATTGCAAATATTATTGTTCTCATTTTACAGAGAAAGAAATTGAGGCCCATAGGAGAAATGACAAAACTAGGAAGTATTGCAGCAGTTTTTAAACCCAAGTTCTTCCTAAATTCAAGTCATATCCTTTCCAAAGCATCAAATTTTCTCTACCAGATGTAAAAATTAAGGTATAGCCAGGGATTAGTTCAACATCAAATGGTAACCCTAGGGCAAATACATACCCATTTTTCTTTATTTCTGGTTCTTATCTTGTACCCTTAGTACAATTAGGTAGTCTGAACTATTTTTTCTTTTCTCAGGTACAGTATGTGGTGAAAACTTATTTAGATCAAGTTTTCCTGCCTCCTGGGATGATGTCATCCTTGTTTGGGAACTAGAGAAAAAGAATTTTATTTACGAAATAGGGGCCATCAACAAACATGGCGGTTATCTTGCTTACACTCAGGTATGAATTATAGCACTGCGACCTTTCATTGATTATCTACCTAACAGAATAGAATTCATCACCCAACATAGAGCTTTGAGCACAATAGGCTGTTCACTGATCTTTGTTGAATGAATGTTGAGTGCATCTAGTGTATTAATCCTACCCCATTCCAAGAAAGATAATTCCATTCCTTATGTGATAAGTATTTACAATCTAATGAGGGTGGGGGTGTAAGGATAAGTACAAAAATAACCCTGATATATGAGAGATACTGAAAAAAGAGAGATCTAGATAAAGTACTAAAAGAAATCAAGAATCAGAATTTACTTTCATATTGTAAGAAAAGGAGAAGGTTGGAGGTTGAAAGGTAAGGGAAAATTGTAAGGAGGAAAGGGATAGGAAAATATTCCAATAAATAGAGGTCATTTAAGCAGCTAGGATAAAGTGCAGCCTACTAATTAACATGGGCAATATGGATTGTGAACAATTTTTTTTAACCTATAGATGATCTGGTATAGAACTCATAAAATTGGATGTGGTGTTTCCCTGTGCCCAAATGGTACATATAAGTACTTTTAAGTATGCCAATACTGTCCAGTGTAAGTATGGTTGTCATTTATTATTAGTCACTTTTCATTGGTCTTTATTGAAATTACATCACATGATATTCCACTTCCTTATTCTCCTTATTATGGCAAAGTGAAATCTTATTCTGAGGTGAAGACAGAAACCACTCAGGCACTTTCAGATTTAGACTTAGGATTCCAAAGGGATGGGCCTCATAGAACCATGTATATTGCCTAGACCCTAAGGCCTGAATGACTTGTGACTCACTTTCTGTAGGTACCAGATATAGGGCGACACTAGAATAGGGTCCAAGGTAAGTTAGGACTTAAATAGTCTTGAAACAAAGTACCTTCAATTCTTGTGTGCTAATGAAAAAATGAAAGACGGTTTAGCAGTCACAGATCTTAAACTATATTATAAAGCTGTAATTATTAAGACTATCTGGTAATGGCTAAGAAATCGAAAGGTAGATCAGTGGAACAGAGTAGACATACAATTTACAGCAGCAAATGAGTATAGTAACCTTGTATTTGACAAGAGTAAAGACTTAAGTCACTTTACTTCTCTAGATCTATTTCATCTATAGAATGAAGATGATAGCAATATATGCATGCTATGCCTCCTAAGATTGCTGTGAAAATCAAATGAGATAATATATTTCAAATTCTATACAAACACAATTCATAACTTTTGTCATATTTTCTCATTTTTTTTGCCTCATGCCATATTTCCTCATGACACAGTCTTCTGCCTTTTTTGATGCAAAAATGAGTTGTTTGATGACTAAATATAGTAACTTTCCTGCTTGAAATTCAGAGTCAGAATTCTGTATGCAATTTATAGTGCTTTTTATAAGAATTCAGCCTCTATGGGGGCTGTGCTTTGGGGCTGCTGTATATCTATGATAAATTTACTTTTTTAAAACGCTTCTTCTTTCGCCATGCAGAGGGAATAAAGTCTCTTCATTATTAACCCCCTACAAGAAAGGTGACAGATGTGCTGATTGCCCTCATTCTTGCCAAAATGGACTCTGTAGTAAGTTTAGAAAAATAATTAATTTTCTTTGTTTCTCTTTCTTTATTTTGGTGTGTGTGTGTGTGTGTGTGTGTGTGTGTGTGTGTGTGTGTGAGAGAGAGAGAGAGAGAGAGAAAGAAGTTACTGAAGTTATCCATCAATGCTCCATCATAATACGGAGATGACCTTGGGTTCTTGAAAGTTGTGCTATCTTGAAAGCAGATTCTACCAATTGGAAGGGATTTTGAGAACAAGCCTGGTGATGAACTATGTAAGGAAGGGGGGATTCCTCACTGAGACCCTCAATTTATATAAAGGCATGATGTTTTAATATCTAAACAAGATATTCTGTTATCTGATATACTTTTATCAACATAAATGATTCTTCAATTGGTTCAATGGAAACATTTTGTGATTAGTTGTAAAAGTCAGTCACACTCCCTAGGTCCATATAGAAAAATAGCAGGTCAGTCTAGGTTTGGACCAGCGTCTGAGCATCATTTGGCTAAGTTCAGCCTCTGAAGATCTGAATTGGTGAATGGAGTATAGAGAGTAATGAAATCAGTGTCATGAAACTTTAACTCACACATACCCCATGCCTGAGATCATTACACCCCACTTGTCCATTTTGGGATATAAGAAGGGAGAATGTGTTCCCAGAACAGGACTAGGCACTTCTCTAAAAACTTCCTGTAATATATTATATGTCAAAATCTAATTCAGAAGCACTCATCATATCATAGCATATATGTATGTGACAGTGGTTAGGAGTTAGGAGTTATTTGGCTGAAGGGGAAAACTAGCTACCTCTCTCTGGCTATCAGCCTTGTGTGGAGAGAGCTACTCTTTCCCATTCAGGTCTCTCAGTGGCCACGACTTTTCCCTTTTTCAGTGCCCTCATTACACCCCCAAATTAAAAGGCAATAGGAGGCAAATTGCCTGTGTCTACTGTATCAGAAGAGCTTCCAAGCCCCTTTTAATTCCAAGCCCTCTCCCAGCAAAAAATTGCTAGATAATCCTCTCCTAGACAATCTAAACACAAAGAAAAGAAAAGAGCAAGTTCCTACCCTTTAGGGGCATACAATCAAATGGGAAAAAATTACATATAAAGGAGAACTGAATGGAGTGGGCATGTGGAAGGGACAGGATTTGTTATAGAGGTCTGCACTCTAGCAAAATAGGGCAAAACTTAACCTATCAGAACCAAGAGACCTGGAGTATCTTGGACTTAATCACCGAGTCCCTCATCTGTTTCTGTTTCTGTCCAGGTGATCCATAGTGTACTTTTAATTACAATATTATTTCTGTTTCTATTTGTATTGAACTTTATTTAAATATTAGCAGGGTGTGTGGCTAAAGTCAATCATTCCCTGTTGCTTTCTCCCCCAGGGATGAGGAGCCTGTGGCCTTGAGTCCACATGTGGCCCTCTAGGTCCTCAAGTGTGGCCCTTTGCCCTGAATCCAAACTTCACAGAACAAATCTTGGACTCAGTCAAAAGGCCGCACCCAAGGACCAAGAAGGCCACATGTGGCCTTGAGGCCACAAGTTCCCCACCCTGTCTTAACCCTTCCTATATTTTTATAGAAGTGAAATGTAGTGAATATATTCATTATGAAGTGAATGTCAAGGCAACTTTGTAAGGGAAAATGAACCTAAAGGAGGCCTGAGAATTGTGGAAAGGAGTGAAGGTAGTCTCATCTTTGCCTTGGTGGTGAGGGTGCTTTAAGGTTTGCAAAACAATTTATAGACAGTATCTCATTATCAAATTATAAGTTGATTATATATGAACCTAGGATCTTTTTTTTTTTTAGCTTCCTATTGCTCATCACACACAACACTCCATCTCCTGTCTCCATGCTTTAGTTTTATTTGTGTCTCGTACCTGGAAAGCACTCCTTCACACTCTCTACCTCATAAGATACCTACTTCTGTCAGAGCTGAACTCAAGCTCTACCTTCTACATAAAGGTTTTCCTGACTACTCCCCCTGCCCCTCCAACCCAGTTGCTAGTGCCTTCCTTCTCTAAAATATCTTGTATTTATTTATTATACTTTTATATGTATATGTTACCTCCTCTAATCAAATGAAAATACATGGGGGCAGAGACTAATCCATTTTTGGTTTTGTGACCCACAGCCCAGCACATATTAGGCACTAAATAAATCCTTATTAATGGATTGAATGAAGGTATAAACCACAGTAGTAAATACTACACTTGTAATATATATGGCCCAAAAAAAAAAATACTTGGACAAAAGAAATCACCTGCTTTTTCAAGGGTCTTTCTGGCTTTGTGGGCCTCTAGTATACTACATAGCATTTGAGAATTCAAGGTCACTTCCGTATCACTGTAAGATTCTAGGTAGGTATTTTAATATCATATCATATAATATACAAAGAGCATGGCATAGAAGATGGCGAGCAATTTGAACTTGTTGACTGGATACTGCATGAATGAGAACTTATATATTCTTTCCTTTAAAAAAAATTTAGGCCTATTTTCACTTTTATTCCTCCTAAAAATCTCATTTAAATCATTTCTGAAATCTATACGATGAGCAATATATCTTGTATTTCATAGTAACTTTCCTTCTTTCTGCTTCATGTCAGCCAATCCTTGTCAGTATGAAGATAAATATTCAAATTGCCAAGAGTTGAAAGATCAGCTTACATGTAACTTCAGTCAAGTCAGGCTTCATTGTAAAGCTACATGCAAGTGTACCAGTGAAATAAAATTGAGTTGATTTCCAGTTTCTCTCTGCTGTGGGACAATTATTTTAGAGCCAAGATGTAAGCTATGCTATATAATACCACTCTCATTGTATTTCCAATGTGTATAATTCCAGGTAAAACTATGATAAACTATATCCCTGTTTCTATTTGGTATAATATATATGGAAGATTCCCGTTCCCATTCTGTAGTACATGCTTGCACTATAAAATTGTATTCAGGCTTATTTTCTTATTTGTACTGTTAAGAGTTTCCACTGGATATTTAAAAAAAAAAATACGGACCAAATAACAATTTCTAATTTGTAACATTTTTTCATGGCATAATAAATCCTAGCTATCTATTTTGTATATGATTTTAAATTGGCCATTTAAAAATAGTAATAAAAAGTCTAAATTTTATTTCTTTCACGGCAGATTCACTTCCTTCATTTTAAAACAAATTATTAGATATGTGCCTGGGAATAAAAAGGAGCAATTATATTTCAACATAACCAAGGAAATTTTGAAGAAAAATTACAAGTGCTTTGTGGCATCCCAAGGTTAACTTCAACAGCCTTGATTAAGGGGAAACACTTTCAGTAAAAACATGTTACCCATTTAGTATGGGGTCATTCCATGAGATGTAAATGAATATATTACAGAAAAGTTCTACCAATACAAAAAGAGAGGCTTTCCATCAGATATTCAGATATAGCTCTGATTCTATAGACAACGATGACACAAAAGGGTTGACTTAACTTTTCAGGAGTATTCTTATGGCTTGAAACGCCCCCATCCAGAGGCCCACTGAATAGACTGATACATTGACCTCAATAGTCCATCTGAAAAATATGCCGTCTAATAACTATGCAGATGAGAATCTATGTATAATAGTCACAGATTCACAAATCTGGAAGGGACCTCAGAAGGTTATCAGGTTCAACCTCTACCTGAAGCATGAATCCTCTCTATAATAATCTCCCCACAATATCCTACTTTCCCTATTACTGTAGAAGGCAGCACTATCCTCCTAGCCCCTCGGGCCCAAAAGCTAGGAATCATCCTGGATTCCTTACTATATTTTCCCTCCCCCCACCCCATATCCAAGCTGTTGCCAAGGACCACCTTTGCAACATCTCTGGAATATACTCTCTTCTCCGCTCTGACACCACCAGCACTCTAGTGCAGGTCCTCATCATAACATGCCTTGATTATTGCAATAGTCTGATAGTGGGTCTGCCTCCCTCAAGTCTCTCCCCACTCTAATCCATCCTTCTTTCAGCCACTAAATTGATTTTCTTAAAGCACAGGTCAAACCATGGTATCCCACTACTCAATAAACTACAGTGGCTCCCTATTGTCTCCAAAATTAAATATAAAATCCTCTGTTTGGCATTCAAAGCTCTTTATAATCTCACCCCCTTCTACCTTTCTAGTCTTCTCATAATTTACTCCCCAACACGTACTCTTAGACTCAGTAACGTCGGCCTCCTTATTCTTCCATGAACAAGACATTCCACTTCTCGGTTGAAGGAATTTTCTATATCTGTTCCCTATGCCCAGAACTCTCTCCCTCCTCCACTTTGACTACTCACCTCCCTAATTTCTGTTAAGTCCCAACTAAAAGCCCATCTTCTATAGGAAGGCTTTCCCAACCCTTCTTAATTCCAGTGCCTTCTCTCTTCTAATTATTTCCTATTTATCCTGTATATAGTTTGCTTTGTATACATTTGTCTTCCTCACTAAATTGTATACTTCTTGAGGGCAGGAACTATCTTTTGCCTCTTTTTGTGTCCCTTGTGCTCAGTGTAGTGCCTGGCACATAGTAGGTGCTTAATAAATGTTTACCGATTAATTGATTGAAGTTGTCAACTAGATTTCACTGGAACCAACACCACTTATAAGGATGACAAACAGTATTAGAGGTTATGGAATCAGGATATGGTTACAAGGGTCCAGAGTTCCTCAACTACATTCTCTGGAGTGATTTAGAGTTCCTGGGGTAGGGTTCAGTTTGAATATGAGTTGACACTCCACTGCAAAACCTTCCCTGAAGGCAAATTAATTCAGTTCACATCCATTCACTCCACACCTGAGGGCCTACAATTCATTTTCTGGTACATCAAAGTACCCTGACTGTGTTACAATGTTCAATAAGACCCTTGGTCCTACAGAAGCTTGATTTAGTATATAAAAAAGAGTTCTAAGAGTTCCTCTCCTGAAGTAAACCATTGGCTTGTAGAGTGGAATTTGTAGCTGGAAAGAATTGAGTTTGGATTCTACCACAGACACATAATAGCTGTGCAACCATAAGGAAGTCATTTAACTTCTCTGAGTTTGATTTTCCCCAACTGTAAAATGGGGATAGTCATAGTACATACCTCACAGGGTTATTATGAGGATCAAACGACATAGTATATGTAAAGTGCTTTGCAAATCTTGAAGCAAGCACTATATTCATGTGAACTATTATTTATTTATCTATTCATTCCTTCAACAAAATATACAACTCTTACCTCAGTCTTCTCTTACTGTGGTTCTCCTACCTAATTATGGCTTAACAGCCTTCATTTTAATGATGAGGTCCAAGGAAGTAGAGTACTTTGCCCAAGGCCACATATGTAGTGTCAGAGACAGAACTCCAGAGAAACTACCAAGATCAGATCTCTTAAATAATGACAGAGTCTCTGTCTTTTGAAATTGTTTCCATTGTTATCAGAGTCACAGGATCACAGAACCTAAGAGTTGGAACAGACTATAGGAGTGTCATCTAACCCAACCCTTAACTGAAGGAAGTATGAATGTATTCTACAATATTAGCAAGTGATCATCTAGCCTTGGTTCCATCCACGAATGGAGAAGGCACTACTATCCATGATATCCCATGTCCATCTTTAGACTACTCTAATTGTTAGAAAATTCTCATTTAGTATTAAGAATAAAAACCGGACCTGCGATTTCACTAACAGAGAAAACTCCTGGGTATGGAAATAGAACTCACTAACTGTTCCCCCAAATGTTCCCCATCTTTCCAACCTTCCCATTACCATAAAGGACATTACCAGAATTGTGTCACCCTTGGCTCCCTACTCACCCCACATATCCAGTTGTCAATCCTTGTCGTCTATGCCTTCATAAAATCTCTCATGCACATCCCCTTTTCTCTATTCATATAGTCACCACCCTCTCCATTATTACAATAGCCTTCTATTTGTTCTTCCTGCCTCAAGTCTCTCCTTACTCTAATCCATCCTCCACTCAGCTGCCAAGGTAAATTTTCTAAAGTATAAGTCAAACCATGACACCTATGGGAACAAATATAAAGTTTTTTTGGTATTTAAGGTCTCCATAATCTGGCACCTTCCTATTCTTCCTGTTTACATTTTATTTTTCTCCAGGCATTCCACGTTCTAGAAATGTTGATTCACTTGTAGTTCTTAAAAAAAAGACATTTACCTCCATAGCTTAATTTCCCCAAATTTCTTCAAGACTTAGCTCAAATCCCACCTGCTTCAGGAAACCTTTCTGAGCCCTTCCAGGTAATAATGCCTGCCCCTCTCAGATGTCATTCTACTCTGTATTTACCTTTGATATACGTAATTGTTTACATATAGTCTTACCCTTTAGAATGTAAATAATGTTGTTTTAAGAACAACTTTGAGCAAATAAATCATTTTGACTATTATAAATACCTAAATTAACTACCAAGAACCTATGAAAAAAGACCCTATCTGCATCCAAAGAAAGAAGTGATAAATAGAAGTATGTATAGAATGATTTTACACATATCTATATATTTGAGTCTAATGGTAGCCATCTCTAGGGAAAAAAGGGAAAAAAAAGAAAAAAAAGAAATTTACATGACAACTTTATTATATATTTAAAAGAAATAGCAAGTTGTGCATAACAGATTTGGAGTTTCATGTGTAATCATCTTTTCAATTATACTATGTTATGAATGCTTGTTTTAGTCCATAAATTAAAAATAAATTTAAGAAAAAATTTTTAAATTTTTAAAAGAATGTAAGCTCCTTGAGGGCAAGTATTAAACTGAGAGGTTAGCTAACATGTCTAAGGTGATATAGTCAATATGTGTTAGAGATGGGACTTAAGCCCAAGTCATTATGGTTTTGCTGCCTCTCAGTAATATACCTGGTCAAAATCTACCTCCCTGTAATTTGTATCCAGAGGTACCAGTTCTCCCCTCTAGAGACAAGCAAAATTAATCTAATTTCTCTCATAACATGATATTCCTTCAGTTACTTGAAAATAGCTAACATTATTACCCTAAATTTTTATTTCCTCTGACTAGAAATCTACAATTTCCTCAATTGATCTTCATGTGGCATGGCTTCCAGACCTTTCAGCATACTGGTCTCCCTCCCTGTATATGTTCTGTCTTGTCAATGTATCTCCCAAAATGTTGGCTTATATTGGATTTGCAGCCAAATGAAATCCTTAAGTCATTTCCACAGAAACTGTTCTTAAATTAGGTTTCTTTTTTTTTTTTTTTTTGATGAGGCAGTGAGGTTAAGTGACTTGCCCAGGGTCACACAGCTAGTGAGTGTTATATATCTGAGGTCGGATTTGAACTCAGGTCCTCCTGACTCCAAGACTGGATCTCTATCCACTGCTAAATTAGGTTTCTTTTAACATGTACTTGGACAAAGTATGGGACAGATTTCAATCTGATATTCTAGAGTGAGATAGTATTCGCCCAGAAGGAACACTGCAGAAAAGGTATTCTTGGCTGGCTTTGTAGAAGGTTTTCTACATATGTTATTTAGCATTTAACCATTGTCTAACCAATGCCTAATAACATTAACTATGTACCTAAAAGGGGAAGGGGAGAAAAAAAGCACTTACATGAGAGAAGGGTCAAAACCACCCCATTTTAGCCTTGATACTTTATATAAAAACATGTCTTGATCAGTCAGTCAATGATAGGTTTTAGACCAGGAGTTGCTTACCTGGAGTCGACCATACCCCACAAGAGGAACATGGATAGATTATAAGAGAGTTGTGAAGTTGG